AAGATGACATGGTTACCTTTGTCGCACAATTGACTAATGCTAAGAACATTATGCATGAGGCTGGCCCTTAACAAGAAGAACATTTTCGACGGTCGTACCGTAGTCTTTTCCAATGGGGCCACTCCCAACGATCCTTCCTTTGTTATTGTCACAAAAAACAACATTGTCACCTTTGAAATAATTTATACTCCTAAAATTGGATGCGTCTCCAATCATGTGCTTAGAGCATCCGCTATCGAGATAACCAGAGGTACTCGAGGCCTTCAAGCACACCTAAAAAACAATTTAAGGAGACGATTTAGGTACCCACCTTTTGTTGGGTCCTTTTTTAGTAGCGTGAGTGCAATGTGTGTGACTTTGTTGAAAATACCTATGTATGGTGGAACACACGGGTGCAATGTGTCTTATTCTATTACAATAATGGCAAACAACATTCGGATTATTCATCATATATAGTTGAGTGTGATATGCTCTAGGTTTGTAATTAGTCCTAGCTTGTTGTTTACCTTTAGCCTTAACAAAAGTTGTTTTTCTAGGTTGGTTTTGTCTATATTCTAGTCTTCGGGTCCTTCTTCGGTGCCTTCTTGTCCTTCTCGCTTTTGAGCTTAGAACACATTGGTTTGATGTGTGCAATTTTACAACACCCATAGCACTTGGGTGGAGTGTTCTTTTTGGCTCCTTTCTTCATCATCATCTTCTTGAACTTGTGGACGAAGAGACCAATGTCGATGTCGTTGGTGTCATCATCAACATCAATGTTGTTGTTGTTGCTTGACGTTGATGCACCTAGAGCAATGGTCCTCTTGCCTTTGTCCTCCACAACCTTGGAGAGTTGAGTAGTCTCATAGGCAATGAGATTGCCTCGGAGTGAGTCGTATGTGGCTACTTGGAAGTCATGCCCTTCTTCAATTGCATCCACCTTCGAACGCCACTTCGATGTCAAGCTCCACAAGACCTTTCTCACAAACTCCTGTTCATTTGAGTTAAACAATTATTTGGAAAACTTTTAGTACATGTGGCACACATTTTTTATCTCCTCTCTTCATTCATCTCATTAGAGAAATTATATGGGAATTCTCTTTTTCTTTCACGCCATTTTTTGTTAAATTATTAGTTAGCTCCTAGCTTAATATCAACATAATATAAATACAAAAATCTATCCATTGAAATTTATCTATAGCTGAAGAACCATGAACGCAATATTATTTGATAATAAAATATGATATGTAGAAGTATAATTTGCACTAAATAGTAATAAAACATGTATTTTCCCAATGTAGTTTCTAAAATTTTTATTTTCTCAATAGTATTCGAACAATGTCTAGTGTCGGGAACAATGTGTAGTGGTGGTGGACATTTACTTAATTGAATAATGTCTAGTGACAGTGGACATTTACTTCAATGTCAAGTGGGCATTGAACACTGGTACTACATTGAGAAATTTAAACATATGGTACCACATTGGAAAATTTAATATAGCCTTGTTTGAAAGTTGGTTGTCAACTATTGGCTTTTTGAGTGGCTGTTAAGTTTAGCTAGTTTGACGGACTGGATGTGTTGATTGATCGTTAAAAATATTTAGTAAAATTAGATGTTTGAATATAGATTTTTTGAGATATAAAAAAACAATATATATATATATATATATATATATATATGTACACACACAGAAATTGGAAAGAGTTAGAAATTTTTTGAAAGATTTTTTTAAATATAAAAAATGTTAAAAAATTATTTTATATTATAATTTTCATATTTTATTTAAAAAATGTAAACTCTACTCTTTAAAATTTCAATACCATTTAATTTTTTTGTGATATTATATCCATATCCATACTTTATTTAAAAAGACATGAAGTCAATATTACGTTTTCCCGCCCAAAGAGTATGCCCATTACATATGGCAATTGTGAAGTTAAAATGGTAAGTGTCCAAAATTATAGTAATATAAAATGGTAATTGTGAAGTTAATATATTTATTTTTTATAATAATTAACTGTCATTTTTTAAAGTGTCCAAAATTATACTAGCAAGAAAGGTAAGTTATAAAATTGGAAAGCGTAAGTTTTTATTAAAATTAGAATCTTACGTGTGATTTTAATTATAGTAATTTTAATTAAAATTGTATATTGCGTGTGATTACCGTGTCAAATTCATTATAGTAATTAAATGTTAATTACCATGTCAAATTAATTATAGTAATATGTGTGATTACCGTGTCAAATTAATTATAGTAATTCAATATTAATTACCGTTTCAAATTAATTATAGTAATTTTCTAATGGCTATATTTTAATTATAGTGGCTATATTTTACAATGGCTATATTTTACTATATTTTAATTATAGTAATTTTAATCAAAAAAAGTAATAATTAATCAAAGTATTAATTATATAACCGTGTGACTACATAATTGTATACTCCGTATTAATTACTGTGTCATTTTAATTATAGTAATTTTAATTATAGTAATTTTAAATATAATAATTTAAATAATTTAAATATAGTAATAGTAATTGTTAAGTATTTAAAGATGGTAAGAAATTAAAGTGCCCGAAATTATAGTAATATAAAATGGACTATAACTACTGTAAGAATTAAATATCCTTTAAATATATATATTTACGTTTAATAGCGAGAAAGGTAATAACCAAGAAAGGTAATAATTAAATGTCATTTTTAAAGTTTCCAAAATTATACTAGCAAAAAAGGTAATAATAAAAAAAGGTAATAATTGACCATAGTATTAATTATATAACCGTGTGACTACATAATTATATATTAATTACCGTGTCAAATTAATTATAGTAATTTTAAGTATAATAATTTTATAATAGTAATTTTATAATGGCTATATTTTACTATATTTTCATTATAGTAATTTTAATCAAAAAAGTAATAATTAACCAAGGTATTAATTATATAAATGTGTGACTAAATAATTGTATACTCCGTATTAATTACCGGGTCATTTTAATTATAGTAATTTTAAATATAATAAATTAAATAATTTAAATATAGTAATAGTAATTTAAATTCGGTATAGCACTTTGAAAAAAGAATAAATTTTTTTAACCCCGTATGCAAAAATCATATTATAAATACATCTATCTACAAATCTTTCGTAGCCACTACACTCATCGTGAATTTTTTTCCCTACGTTTCAAAATTGTCATTTCTATGAAAATGAAGATCTTAACTGCTTTGAAAAATGTTGATGAGAGGTCATCAATGTTAATGATGAAGCTACGAGTAGTTAGGATTTATCACAGGTTTCCGTAACAATAATCCAACACGTTTTAGTCATGGACAACTCTATGTTGCAGTTTTAAGAGTAACTAATCATAGTGGGTTGAAGATTCTGATATGCAATGAAGACAATATTCCTACAAATTGTACAAATAATGTAGTTTATAAAGAAGTCTTTCAAAATTTGTAAAACAATGATATTTTGTACCTTAAAATATTATAATCTCTATATTCTATTGCATCTCATTTTTTATCATTGAAAAATAATTTGAATTTAATAACATAAAATGACCCGTGCAACGCACGGGTGTGATACTAGTTTTATTTCAAATAGTATTTGTCATTTGTTTTGTGACTCACACTCTTTTTTTACTTTTTTACCTTATATATTTCTTTGTGTTTTTAATTGTATGTCACTAATCCATGTTACAAGAATAAGAAGACAAATGAATTAACACTCTTTATTAATCTTAATTGAAAGAAAAATTGGACTTAAAATAATAAAACGATGTTTCGACCAAAGAGGGAAAAAAGAAAAATGGTTATAATAAGAGCCGCCAATTCATTTCCGCAAAAACTTTCAGTATTTTTTGTATGTCTTGAGAATATTAAAACATTTCTTTTACTTTTTAGTTTTTTTTTGTTTTACAAAAGTCAAATAGATATGCAACAAAGGTTGTTTTAATATACATTCGACATATGCATAGTTTAAAAATAAATAATATTAATTTTACACAATTATTTATTTGCGTATTAAATTGATGTATGAACAATTATTTTTTTCATATGCTTAAACATGCACATTATAAAAAGTATTAGTGTATGCACATTAAAATTAATGTGATGCTTAATGAAAAAAATATTGTGCACAATTATATTGGTCAAAATTTTAAAATATTGACTAAAACACATTTCAAAGAAATAAAGTTAACAAAAATTTCAAAATCACAAAGAAAATTATAGATTAATTAATTCAAGTTTTGAATAATTGACGTGACTCTATAATGGTAACTAATATTTATAACCAGGACACAATTGTTTAATAAATAGTGACACTATATTATATTTTTATTTTATTGAGATAAGAATAATAATAATGAAAATAAAACTAAATAATTTTTTAAAGTCATTGTTGGAAGAAATTGGATGAAGTTAGAAAAAAATGAAAGAAGTTGAAAGAAACTCGAAGGAGTTGGAAAAACTGGAAGGAGTTTGAAAAATTTTGAAGGAGTTAGAAAAACTAGAAGAAGCTAGCAAACAATTGGAAGAAATTAGAAAAAACTGAAAGGAGTAAAAAAACTAGAAAGGGTTTGAAAAAAATTGAAGATGATATAAAATACTTCCCTCGTCTATTATTTTCTTTCTCACTTTCTTATTTGGGACTTCCAATTTTGTTTTCTCGTTTCTTATTTTGGCAACAACTTTTAATAAATGTTTCATTGAATCCCCTCTTTTTATCTACACTATTCACTTTATTCAATCACATCATGGGCAAAACATGAAAAGTTTTTTACACTTTTTAACTTTTTTTTTTACCTCCGTGCTAAGTCAAAAGCAGGAAAAAAAAAATTTAAACGGAAGGAGTATTAAAAAGTTAAGAGTAAGCCCTTTGAATTAACCAATTACGGAGCATAAATTTTATGCTACTCCGTATTTTGAAACAAATGCAGAGTTTCTACTTTAGACCGAGGTGCGTTTTATGGAAGGAACTACGAAGGTGAAGTCTCTAGAAAGAACATGACACCGTTGCGCGTTAGGAAAGTCTGTCCGGATTCAATTGACTCATTCCTTTCTTCGTAAGGAGAGACACCCCAATTTTCCAATTCTATAAATTCTCTGTTCCTCTCACCTGCGTCTATCAACAAGCTAATTAAGCTGCAATTAATCAGACATTCAGACATCTTTGTTTGAGAGATAGCGTATAAGAAGAGGAGGACGACGAAGATGATGACGTCAATTTTCAGTTCCTTCGACGCCCTTTCGGCGGAGCTCTTCGTGAAAAAATTGGGACAATCGCCAGGCTGCTCTCAGGCTGTCGTGGCCGATCTGAAGACCGGTGGGGTAAACAACGCCGCCGTCGGGGAGGTGCCGCCTCCGCATGCTATGAAGAAGACGGCTGCGACCGAACAGAGGAGGAGACCGAGGTTCGCGCCGGAGTTGGATGGGATCTATAGTTTCGAGACGATTATTCCGAGTTGATTATTCAATTATCTGACGAGATTATTATTGCACGGAGTAATTCTTTGTAACAATTAACAGTTATTTTCGTCTCTGTAAAATCACTGCTTGCTACATTATTCAATTCAAGGATGCCTTTTGTTCGGGTGTAGTCCACCATAGAATTGTCTCCCATACAATTAGAATTTACTTATGTCCTAAAGCAAAGCAAAATATTGAGATTCTTTTTAGTTTTTAGAGTAAATTCCTAAAATGTTCTTTTATAATAAGATGTTTTCCCTATTTAGTTATCAATAAATTTTAATTACTTACATGATCTTCTATTTAAATGATGATTAATTGAGAGATATTTTGGTATTTTGTTAATTCAAATTCAAAGTATATTCTTGAAATAGTTATTTCTGTACAACTAAATTTAAAATTGAAAAAATACTTTGACTATAAATAATTCATGATATATTTAAGACTTATAAAAAATATTTTAAATTTCAAATTAAATACACATCTTTAATTAGAAAAAATCATTTTTGGAAAGCACTTCATTATAAATGATCATTTTAAAGATTAATTCTAAGTTTAGCGGACAAAAAATACCAAAATACGGAGTACCCCCAATTAATCCTCATTTGAGTAACATTATTTACGAAGAACCATTTTGGGAACAAATCTCAATTATAGAGGACCACGTAGATAATTAAAACTTATTCATGACTGATTTGGGAAAACACCTTATTACAAAGGATTATTTTGAGAATTTACTCTTCTTTTTATTACTTCTAACGTCCCACAAAATATTTCTGTTTTCTTTTTTGATCGATCCTAAAAAACTTTTCTGATTTCTATTAAAGAGTCTTTTTTACCCTTATTATTTCTCAACTTATCAAATCGCAGTTTCTCACTACTAATCTATCGGATCCTACTTTTACCTATTGCATTCAAAGAAGCTTTTAGAAAAGTCAACATCAAAATACACTTCCCTTAAATCTTTTAAAAATCAAAATCAAAAAGATTTTATGGGACAGACTAATTGTTTCATCGCAGATATTTAACTCGTGACAAGTTTATTGCGACGGACAAAGTTCGTAGCAGATCCGTCGCAGATTCTCTATTTGCTACGGATTATCGAAATCTGCACCGACTTAGTCTGTTGCAGATCCAACAGATTATTGTAGTGTTAAACATTTTCTTAGTTGAGTTTATCTTGAAAATAAAACACGCAAAAATGAATTTTGGAAAAATCCTACACGTTGACAGTAGCCCCTACTGTGCCCACGGTACATGGTAACGTGCGGTTCTAGCATGCCGACCGGACCTTGGCACCGGCAGAAACTCAGGTTCTGGAAACCATTTGAAGTCACACAGTATCCTTGGAGGTAGGCTAGACCGTGACCACGGTACCCCCGGCGATATGTCATACCGCGTCCACGGTACCTTGGTACCAGACGGTTTCCGACTTATCGACCCTGGTATCTGAACCGTTACTTTATTGTGCAAAAATTTCAAATTCAAATTTAATTCAACCCAAATAAATCTCCAACGGGCAACGGTCCTAAAAGGATCTTTACCCTTTTTAAGGTTTCCTAATCCTATATAAACCCCCTCAAAGAGCATGTTCTTTAGGGCTTAAACTCTTAACTTCCAGTTTCTTTCAGATCCTTCTATTTCTTCCAGTGCCTTCCAATTTCTTCCAATTATTTTCATTTTTCAAATTCTTTCTACTCCCAAATCAATTACTCTAAAAACAATATATTTTTAAAGTGATTATTATTATTATATTCTTGTTGTTATTGTTATTACAACTGTAATGTTCATAACTATAGTTTATAAATTATTTTTTCATCTCACTATTTTTATGATTCACACTCATTATATTTTATTCAATTTTTTAATGTGAATAAGAAATTTTTATATATTAATTTATATGATAAAATAGGAAAATATCAACATTTTAAACTATATTAAAAAATTATGGATAAAATAGTTACATAGAATATTTTATTCATCTAAATTTATATAAGACCTCTCACCTTTCCCTTTATTACTCAAAGTTTTCTCATTTTTCTAATGTTTATAAAGAAACTGAAAGTAAAAATAGTTTAGAAAAAATACTAAAATAGGAGTAAAACATAAAAAATGTAAAACAAATTCTATGTCTTTATTCCAAAAATAGGACTTACAATGAAAATAAAATGGCAATCCTGAAAGAAAAAAATAGGTTTAATTACATTATGTGACATGTTTCATATTTAAAAAAAATCTTGTAATATATAAAGTATAATTACATATATATTATTTATAATAAATACAACATAAATAAATTCAGGTGCAACATAACCACAAAAAATTTTAAATTTAACATTTTGATATTTATGCAAACTTTATATTATAATTTTTTTTTTGCAAAAGTAATTTTTTATATTTGAAAAATAACAATACTTTTTTTTGTCTTAAAGGCATTCATCAAGATAACGTGATGATGATGGTAATGATTATGATGATGATGATAATAATAATAATAATAATAATAATAATAATAATAATAATAATTTATAACACCAAGAATTAGAATTAGAATAATATACAAATACACTAAATAAATTTTTTAAAGTTTTTTAGGTTCTCCAATTTTTTGGTTCCTTTCAGTTTTTTCTAGTTTCTACCAACATCTAACTCTTTTTTATTCCTAAAGAACAGGCTCTTAGTCTCATTTACAACACAACAACATTCCTTCTCAATCTAAAGCCTATTTTTGCATTCTTGAGTGTTCTCTTAAGCTTTGTTCTTGATTTTTCATTACTCTCTTGAGTTTAAAGCTTTCATTATTTTATAGACTCACACAAAAGGGTATTTATGATTCATTGTTTTATATTTGTCATATAGGCTATTGTTATTGATTTTATACTTTGTTTTCTCCTACCCAACTCATGTTGTTTATTATTTGGTAGAGAAGCAACAACCATTTCTATTATTTTGTAAAAGGTTTGGATAACCTTTAAATCCTCATTTTGTAAGGTTGAAGAGACCCTTTAAATCTTCGGGTTGTAAGCGCTCGAGATTGCCGTTGTAAAATCTCATTTGCTTATTGGTAAGGGTTGTTTGCCAAACCTCATTTAAGTGTTCTTAGTGAAGCCAAACTAGTTAGTCGAGGTTAAATCCTTGAGGAGGAGCCTCGAGGCACTGGAGTAGGGAGTTCCTGAACCAGTATAAAATTGATTGTGTCGCAATTTTACTTGTCTTGCTTTTCTTGCTCTATTTCCGCTATTCTTTTTTCTACCTAAGTATTTTTTACCAAAAAAATTTTAAACACCCTAATTCACCCCCCTCTTAGGGTGTAACCGACTTTCACTGCATGCACGGCAGCTCATCACATGACCAGTAATTCCAAATTGTATTATTGTTCTACTTCTCAATCTACCTGTAGTTCAGCTAGGTAGCCTATCCGTATTCAAGTTCATTTTTTTGTATTCTCAAACTCATACATAATCATAGTAAGGTTCACAAACATACATACTTAACAATTAGCGGTCTAGTGTTGAGTGTAAACAACTTCCACTTACCATCATGCAACAGACAAGACCTTGAAATCAATACATGATTTTAATCGGAACAAACAAATAAGAGAAAGGGTGGCTGGGTGTCTGACATAGTACCTATTACGGTACCTTGGTACCGCCACCTGATAGTGCCGGTCCGGTATGCCTTACTATCCAGGTGCAATTGCCGCTAGAGGAATTTACTCTATGGCGGTAGCAAGGTACTGCAGCGGTACCTAGCTACTGACATCAAAAAATCAACGAAATAACAGAGTTTGATCCAATTCCAAACCATTTAATACGTATAATGTTTTGAAAGGTTATTCACACACAAACCATGCAAATTGCAGTAGCCATCATCGATCAATCAATTCTAATAACATCATATATTTTTAATAAATCTGAATTTGAATCATAATCAAATAATTATCAAATTCTACATAATCAATCATATGAAATTTCAAACGTGAATTTCATACATATACGAATAATATAGTGTTAGATGTCCATGAACTCACCTCGATATATTTGACGAATAAAATAGATCGCCTACTTAAACGACGAAGAAGATAGCAGCGAAGCAGTGGTGTCAGTTGATTGGAGGCGGAAGAGTTGTTTCGAGAGATGTCCTTGCTTGTTCTGTTCTCAGCTAAAGAACAAAGAAGAAGCATGATTAACGCACGTGGGGTTATGTCGCAAGGATGAACAGAGGCTGGTGTATATGTATTTATATATAGTTGTAGTTCTAGGAAATTTGATTTCCTCACTAGAGTAACCTTAGGATTACAAGGTGTTAATATTATATTTTAAGATAAAAGATTTTTATTTATTTATTGAACCATAAGTTCTATTTTACTCATCACGCTTTAAACGAAAGTCCAAACTTAACATATTATATATTATTGGTCACCATTTTATGAGGTCTATCCAAAAATTTAATTTTTAAATAAAATGGTTCACTTTAAAATTAGGAGATTATTGAGGCGAAAAACACATGTGGGTGGGGTGAGATTACCTAAGCCGGTATGAGTGGTGGGGAAAGTGTTACCTCCCGCAGTGGTAATAGAATCACTGCCTTGATATGGTGAAGAAAATTGCAACCTTGTCAAATTAGAAGTGACATGAGCATTTGCACCAGTGCTTAGGTTCTAATTATGACTTAGTTGAGAGTGATGTTCAGAGTAGTATGCGTGTGGGGGACCAGAGTACGATTCATTAAAAAATGGTTCCAATAATTCCAGACAGCATGTTCATGTTAATTTTCCACAGAGTTGACAACTCACCATACCGAATCACTAGCCACCACGTCCACGACTAGCAAGTTCCCCCCCACAGGCGGTCGACCGCTTGTATCACCACCGTTGAAGTAGGTTCGACCATCAGACTGCTTTCGTCCCTAACAGCCTCCAAAAAGGGCCTATGGCTCCTGCCGCGGTATCCAGCGCCACCACGGCCTCGTCCCTTACCTCCTCCATGACTAGTATTAGTAAAGAGAGCATTATGAACATCAGAGGAGGTAGAAGAGTCACCAATATATAATTTTAGCTCAAGTTGAACATTTAATTCCTCGAACAATAACCATGAGGAAACTTGATTAAAAGTCAGAGAGCCTATTTTCGTTCAGACATTCTGTTTGAGGGAGGCATATTCGGCAAGAAGGACACGTAGAACATGCAAAACAAGATCATTATCTGGTATGAGCTCATGATCCAGTTTAAGAGACGTAACAATACCAAGTGCAGTATCAATATATTTTTGCATGAAGTCAGTGCCTTTACGAAGACCATGAAGACGCTTATGTGTTCTGGACAAGGGATGGTGCCTTTATCGGAGATAAGCCCATATTTCTACTAAAGACGAGAGAGTGAATATGTGCTTACACAGTAGGAGACACAATAGCTAGAAGGCATGGCCAATTTTGTGCATCTACAATCATCCAAGTTTCATAGGATGGATTAGATTTCATGACTGGTGGAGAATCTTTGTCTGGTACAGGGGCCTTGTCGTTGACATAAGAGAGAGAAGACGATGTGCAATAAGATTGACTTGAGCTGTAGCAGACCATGACGGATAGTTGGTATCATCCAATTTTGTTGGTGTGAGAGACTAGAGATTTCGGACCAACAACTTTAATCCGATGGGAAGGCGATCCATAAGATCACCGAAAACAGGTGCCATCAAGTAGAAGAAAGACGCTGGCGACGCTGATCGAAAAGGAAGAGGCGGCGGCGTCTAAGGTTTTCGGCTTTGCCATTTTTTGTATGTATTTACCGTAAGGAGAAAAGAGGAGAGAAAATCTCAAGCTCTGATACCATGTTGAATTATGGAATAATAATTTTACTCAAAGAATAATGGTACAAGAGTGTGTATATAAGGGTAGATCTTGACATATTTAGGATTTTACCTAATACTCCCTCCGTTCCACAAAACCTTTCCCCTTTCATTTTTTTGAATTTCCTAAAACACTTCCACTTTCTATTAAAAAACCACTTTTATCCTTACTTTTTCATACCCTACCTATCACATCATACTTTTTCACTAATATCCAAACTATCACATCTTACTTTTATCCATCACATCAGGGGCAAAATTGGAAAGTCAACCAAAATTTCACTTTCCTTATTTTAGCCAAAAGTCAAAAGTGGAAGTGTTTAAAGGAATGGAGGGAGTATAAAACTGACTAGTATACGAATACTACTATAATAATTAGAATTACTATTATTATTGTTGTCTAACACAAACCATATGGTCACATACGGCTGCATGTTGCAAATTTCATGGGCTTAGCTATTAAGCTAAGCTCCCAATTATTGCAAAGGGGCGGCACTTTCAACCAGCAATTGGAATTGAGCTTCACTTCGCATCTTCTTTTTTTTTTAACCAGCAGCTTCGCTTTTTTTCTCCATGTTCTTTCCCCAAAGGAATAAATAGAATCCCACTATGAGTACTGCCATCCCAATCAAACTACAATCACATATGATCAAATTATATTAGAAATGATAATTAAAGTCATTATTACTAAAAAAATATGTAAGCTTTCTTATATATATATAGGATATAATATAATGAAAAAAGAATATTTCGTTGCAGTATTTATGATATAACGACCTTCCAACGGAGATGGACGCGCCAAAGAAAATAGCTTCTGTGATGGCTACAAATACAAGGGACAATGGATTGAACATTGAAGGATAAGTCGGTCCCCTTTTAGCAATTGCCCAAAACACTAAGCAAAGTGTTGCTGCTGAAGCCAATACTCCCTAATATATAAAATTAAAAAATAAAATTTACTCATATATAATTTCTGTAAGGGGGGCGGCGTTCAACTGATATTAGCTCCCTATGTCATACTATGACGTGGGCCCCGGCCCGTTTAGGGTACCTATTGTGTTCCGTTTGTAAAAATTGACTCGAAAGTCAACTAAATTTTGTAGGGTGCAACTAGAGGGAATGGGTGGACAATGGGTGGGTTCGGGCCAAGCTGGGGTGGGAGGATTTACCGAGGAGGTGAGGAGTTAAGAACCATCAATTTTTCGAACAGAGTACAAACCGTAGATGCCATGGGTATCCTATAACATTGAAGTCCAATGCCATTTATTTGAACCAGGGTGATTCTTATAAAAGGAAGAAGCAAGTGATGTGAAAATACATAAATATATACTTACTGAATAAAGGATAGTGATTAGTTGCAAATTCCACCCTAACTTCCACGACGCTTCTGTTCTATCAATGCACAAACCAATTGCGGTGCTTTGGAATGTTGCCATTATGCATGTAATTGTGGTTATAGAAAACATGTATGGGAATTTTTTCCACAACATGGCCTAACAGTTGAAATATTTGAAACAAGGTTAATTGCTTGTATAAGTATACTTAGGCTTCGTTTGGTAATGAAATTCAAAGTATTAAATTGAAATTGAGGATAATAGTTTTATTCTGCTATTTAGTAGCACAAAAATATGTGGATTTTGATTTGGTAGTGCTAAAAATGAATTGAATTTAGAGGGTTCGATTCCATCCAAATCAATTCTATAGAATTGAATTTCAACTTCAATTCAATTCCAATTCCATTAAGTCCATGTACCAAAGGGACCTTTATTACAAAATCAATGTGGAATTGGAATTAAATCGGGCCACACAAGCCAAATACTCCTTCCGCCTAAAAAAACCTTTCCACATTTGATATTTGTGGTAAATATAAAATAATAAATGGACTCAAGGGTCCAAATATTCTTTCGTGGTTTGATTTTTTGGTCAAACTAATAGTAATACTTTTTTATCATAAATTATGAGCAAACTATATTAAAATATACTCCGTAATATAAACTTAACATAATTGGGTTCATCTTAAGTTATAATTTGGATATATCAAATTTTAATAATACTTATTTATTTAGATTATGCTTAATTTGTAGATTAAGGCTCCGTTTGTCATCAGCGTTAGAGATTAGCGTTAGCGTTTTGAAAAAGCTATCCGACGGTAGCCTTTAGTTTAGCGCTTTCAGAATTAATCTGCACCATTAAAATTTTATCCAAGACGCTAACGCTAATCGAAAACGATGTTACCAAACAAAGCCAAAGAATGTTACGGTTTGATTAAAAAATCAAAACAGGAAAGATTTTGGGATCGGGGACAGTAATTACCTGTGTGACGAACCATAAACCATAACTTAGACAGCTAAACGTTAAAAACACAGTGCCACGTCCCCAATTCTCATTCATTTGGTTGGAAACCAATTGATGACTGGGAGCTTTTGATAGGTAAAACGTTTTGCCTTTGTAGAATGTAGTGATTAATGCTCCAGCAAGGCAAAACACTGCTCCTATGATTTTTATTCTTCCATCCTTATGACTCCATCTTGGCTTTTCTATGCTTCAAAGTTAAGCAGAAAGTATGTCATTATAATGCACAAATACATATATACCTACACATACATCTCTTAGAATTTATAAAACCTTTCTTGGGCCAGAACCATAAGCTTGAGCTTTTGGTCGGTCGAGTGACAACATAATAATTAAGAATAATACACACACACTGCACATCGTTGGCTCGTCGCATACCGAAAAATTAATGACAATATGAAGGTCGCTATTGGAATCAGGTTGAGAAAGTTAGTAGCATATGTTGCCGTTGTATCTCGGAGACCATAGTAAAACAATCCCATTGCCATTGGTATCCTGCAAAGTAGAGCATGATCGAGTATCATATACCAAAAAATGAGAGCAGTTCTTAAAATCTTCATGTCTTTAGAAATTGAGCATTATTATTAAATAATTAATGAACTTAACGAATGCATGCATCTAGATCAGGGGCGGACCCACATAGGATCACACGGGGTCACACGACCCCACGGAAATTTTGTAATTTTTTAATTATTTGTATATATATTAGGTGTATATATATTACTCCCTCCGTCCTATAATGATCTTCCCGGTTTGCAAAACGAAGAAAAATTCCAAGTTTTTTCAATCTATTTTATTTAAATATTGGTATAGAAATAAAAAATAAAACATACATATTTAAAAACTACACCAAAAGTTCAACAAAACAAGTAGTGACAAGAATATTTTATTTTATCATATAGGCCATGAAAAAACACAAATAAATATAAATTTCCGTGAAGTTGGAATAGTGCTCTAGGAAGATCATTATAGGACGGAGGGAGTATATATTGTTACGGAAACGCATCCATGAGTAGTATTCGACGGATTGGCGGAGTGGTTAGCGCCCAGAAACTCATATAATGTGTCTTGAGTTTGAGGCCCTCCATGGCTCCCCATGTAGAGACCAATATTTTTCGCTTTCCTTCTTTTTCTTCTTTTTTTTGTTCGCTACTTTTTAATTGCTTTTTTTGTTTCATTCTTTTATTGTCTACTCATATTCATTTTCTCCCATAATTGATTTGACTTTTTAAAAACAAGTACAAAATCAATAATTTTTACATATACTTTATTTACAAATTGGTATTGAAATAAAAGTTTATCCAATTTGACACAAAAATCATACTATATGAATATTCTGAGATAGAGAGTGTAATTTACATAAAAAAAAATATGTGATTTTTTAATAAAATAAGATGTAACAAGAATATTTTATTTTATTAAATAATCAATGAAAACATATAAGCAAAGGAAAGTTTGTCACTATAGTAATAATTTAATTAAGTTTGGGGCGGAGGAGGGAGACACATATTTGTTACTATTAGTGATAATATTATAATAGTATAATCTTAAAATATTGAAAGTTGATGTTAGTGGTTACTTTGTATAAGTTATAATTTATATTCACATTGTAATACAATTATTTATTTTCAATTCACTTTAATATTTTTCCAATAAATATAATCTTTAATTTTATGAATTACTCCATCATCTCGTTATATTTGTCTTTTCGATTATTTATAGAGTCAATTTAGATATTCTTTCGTTACATGTTTTCGTCTATCATTTTCTTAAAAATTAGTTATGAACTTATTTTATAAAATGTTTTATGTTATTTTTAAATCTATTATTTTTAAGTTTATATTCAAAGCCAATATTTAAATAAATTCAATAAAAATGTTATAGGAAACATTATAAAAAAATGAGACAAAGTGATTCAAAAAATACTTTTTTATTTAATGCACAACATGTCGTGTGTTCATTAAACATCTCACAAAAGCGACCCCACGACATGAAACTTCTAGGTTCGCCCCTGATTTAGATGCTTGAGGGATATATGGGATGGATATGTAGAGTTTGGATAGGTAGATTTATTAAATATGCTTAGAGGTTGTATAATTTTTATATTACGTTGTAAGAATATAAATAACTGTTCCTGGGCCACAAGCTTGAGCTTTTAGTTTAGTTGGTTCCTTGACATGGTATCGGAGCCTCATTGACTAAGAGGTCACGGGTTTGAAACTTAGCGCCACCGAGTTTTAAAAAAAATTAAGGTTTCACGTGCAAGGCTTGAAAAGGACTACGACTGCACGTGAAGGGACGTGTTAGAATATAAATAACTGTTCCTGGGCCACAACCACAAGCTTAAGGTTGAGTTTTTTATTTGGTTTAAAATCTCTCTTCCCGTGAAGACTAATGTCTCGTGAACCACCCGCACAAGCTTTGGGACCAAAGTTTGGTTGCAGACTAAGCTTGGCTACCAACCACTTTTAGTAAACCATGAATGAACAAAAACACCAATAAGAAAATAATATCAAAATTACCCATTTGTAAGACATGCCCTTTTTCGTAGTCGAAAAGTTTTTTATGGAACCGAAGAATTATACGGAGTAACATTTTATTAAATAAAGCAATTATTTGTTTTCTTTGGTACAATGAAGAAAAATTAATAATAACTTTGGAATACTGACTAACTAAAGTACTCCCTCAATTGTTTTTAACTGTCTGAATCGTTTTGCGTGACAAACGTTTGACTAATTATATATGTACTCACTCACCCCTAATTTGATTACAAGGGATACAAAATCTTTTGTCTTTTGAAATCATTTTATTTACAAATTGGTACATCAATAAGAGATAAAAAAGCACATGTTAAAAACTACATCAAGAGTTCTACAAAATGAGAAGTGACAAGAATATTTTATTTTATCAAATACTCAATTAAAATACACAAATAAACAAAACTTATCGAAAAGAAAGAAAAAAAAGATTGTAATCAAAATTGCGACGGAGGGAGTATATATAAATATACAATGAATTAAAATATAAAAATAAAACCAAATTATTAGTATGGAAAAATACTTTTAATGTACTAGTTTTAATAACTTTTTGCTAATATATATTTTAAGTTCTTCAAACATTAGACTCGAAAAGTAAATCGGGCAATTAAAAAGGAATGAATGGAGTATATCCTACGATTTGTGATTTACCTCTTCCACCAATCCTTGGATAAGGGTGTGGGGACACTTGGAGTTGAAATTTAAGAAATCGCTTGTAAAAGGAGTAAAACATAAAGAAATAATCCTAAATAGGACTAAAACATAGAGAAAAGTACCAAAATAGGACTTTCATGTTTTTTTCCCAGAATAGGACTTTGCACTGTGGTAATGTGACTTTGCATTGTGATAATGTGGCAGTGTACATGTGCAAATTACTATACTTTTTTGGTAATGTATATGACCATGTTTGGTAATGTAGTCCTATTTCGGGAATAAAAACATGGAAGTCCTATTTTGGTATATTTTCAATGTTTTGGTCCTACTTTGGTTTTTCTCCCTAAAACATACGAAGTACTCCCTCCGTCCCACAAAACGTTCTCCTCTCCTTTTTCATCTGTCCCAAAAAAATCTTCTCTTTTCTATTAAAAAGTTATTTTTACCCCCTATTAATTCTTAACTTACCTATCACATCACACTTTTACTCTATTAATTTATTTATCAAATCCTACTTTATCCATCACATCAAAGAGTATTTTTAGAAAGTCAACACAAAAATACACTCCCCTGAAATCCTTAAAAAGTCAAAATAAGAAGTTTTTGCGGGACGGAGGGAGTAGCATTTATCATCAAAATAAGAATTTCATGTTTTTATCTCTAAAATAAGAGTTTGCACAGTGACATTATGATATTGTATAGTGACATCCCACTGTATTTTTAGATACTATATACTGGCATTGCGCTCCTATTTTAAAGATAAAAACATAAAACTCTTATATTAATAATTTCTCCATGTTTTACTCCTAATTTAGGCTCCGTTCCGTTCAACTTATTTTTTCTGATCTGATTTGATTTTAATAAGTTCTGATCTGATCTGATCGAATCTGATCTGATGTGATTGGATCTGATCTGATGTGATTAATTATGATTTGATTTAAAATTCAAATCAATAATTTTATTTGACCTTATAATAACGTTTGAAAATTGTAATGATAATTCATATTATAATATAATCAATTTTTTTTTATTTTATGATTTTTTTGAAATTAGAATATTAATTTAATATTTTAATAATTACTTCATATATACATTAGAATGAAGGTTCAATTTATATATACATTAAAAAGTAATTAAATTTAGATAATCAATATATAGAAGAGATAGTATTTTTATTAAAATATCTCATCCTTATAAAAGATCAAAACTTTAGAAACTCAAATTATACGTAGCAATAAAAATGTATTTTAAAAGTGGAATTAGATTGACATTGTCAATGTATTTTAAAAATAATTTTCCGACGTCTTATAATTAAGGATTACTTTCTCAGTTTTCTATTTAACTTGTTTCTAAAGTATATTCTTTTTCATTTTTTAGAATAGTAATAATGATGATGATGATGATGATGATGATGATGATGATGATGATAATAATAATAATAATAATAATAATAAAGATAGTGATAATAACAACAACAACAACAACAACATTATTAATAATAATAATAATAATAATTCTTGATGGGATCTAATCTGATCTGGTCTAATCTGATTAGATCTGATCTCATCTTATTGGATCTCATCTGATCTGATTGGATTTGATCTGATCTAATTGGATCTGATCTGATTTGATCTGATCTGATCTGATTCGGTTTGATCTGATCTGATTCGATTTGATCTGATCTGATCTGATTCGATCTGATCTGATCTGATCTGATTTTAATAAGAATAAGAAAAAATAAGTTGAACGGAACGGGGCTTTAGTCATTTTCCCTTACAGTTTCACCTTTAGAAATTAATGGAGTTTACGCATTAGAAATCATCCTAAATAGGACTAAAACATAGAGAAAAGTACCAAAATAGGACTTTCATGTTTTTTTCCAAGAATAGGACTTTGCATTGTGGTAATGTGACTTTGCATTGTGGTAATGTGGCGGTGTACATGTGCAAATTACTATACTTTTTTGGTAATGTATATGACCATGTTTGGTAATGTAAGTCCTATTTCGAGAATAAAAACATGGAAGTCCTATTTTGGTATATTTTCAATGTTTTAGTCCTACTTTGGTCTTTCTCCCTTTACGCATTGAGGTCATAATCAGATACTTACCCGAAAAGCGCAACAAAAAAGAGATGAACTACCACGCCCATATTGAGATTCTCCAGGCTCTCCCTGTCACAGGTTGAAGGAAGTACTTCGTATTAATTTAATTAAAATTGAGTGTGTGATTAACGGCCGACCCAGAAACATTGAAGAGTGGGCTCTTCCTTCATTTTATTAGATTTAATTATTCAAATTCTAATAATTTAAATTAATATATTTACAAAATTTATGGTGCAGTGAGCCATGTTTAATCAATTAAAATTAAATTATCTCGACACACCTTTTGTGACAAAACTTGTAATGATTTCTATAAGATTAATAAGAAAACTTAAAATGTGCGGCTAACTAACAATCATGTAGAGAGGAAATATGGACATATTGTGAATCAAGTTATAACTTTCTAGAGCTAATTAAAGTGATATGTTTAAGAATAGAGATGCTTTCATAAAAAAACAAAGAGAGATGTTTGTACAAACAAAAAAAACTAATGTTCTTCTTTTTGTTGGGAAATATCCAGGGCCGTCTCCAAGGAATTAGGGGCTCTGTCCGACACGGAGAAAATGCGTCATTGTGTGATAAAAAAATTAAAATTTATCAATTAATTTTTTTAATAATATATAACATTGTAGTAATAATAAAATGTCAGACTCATAGTCTTATAAGTTTGCAATTATATACTCTGAACTCTGATACCTAACTAAAGACTCGTGAAGTTGTTCTACTCCGTATTATTCTTGAGAGAAAATAGGTTGATCACCTCTTCATAGTTTATTAGATTTAATGATTTAGGACTGTATTTTTAAAAATAAATGAAGATTATTTTATATAAATAAATATATACATGTAGGTATACAAAAAATGAGCCCCATTCAAAAATGGGTCCTGGCCAAGTGACCACTTTGCCCCTACTTTGAGCCGCCCCTGGAAATATCCCTCCTACATGGAGGAAGTGTCCAATTTTAATTGAACAACACTTTAAATTTCTCTTTTATATTTGGGCTTATTTTGTGTGTTTAAAGTTTTAGCCCAAATGTTTTTCGGTGGCCCATTCTTTTTTGTTGTGTGGCTACTAACTAAAGAAGAAAAAAAGAGAGGGATAAGGCAGCAACTTGAAGAGAAAAAAGGCAGTGGCAGTCGATAGCTAAACGCAGGAAAGAAGGAGAAAAAGGAATTTCCGCCACACGATGCAGCAGCCCCGTTTTCAGTCCGGATCGAAGGCTAAAAGAAGTCCGATTGTGCTCAAATTTTAGTATGTTGTTCCTCACATACTCCTCTTCAAATCCAACGGTCAGTTTCTCGTTTTGATGCCCGGAAGGTGATTTTCTTGCTGCGTTTTCAGACATGCGTTTTTGGGAGTTTTTACTCCATTTTATGGTGAATTGTTGATTGTTGTTGTTCCAAGGTTGCTCCTTGATGATTGTGTTTGCCTCTAGTGTTTCCTCTAGTGTTTACTAGAGAGGAGAACTTGTCGTACCCACTTGATTCTTGGTGATTAGTGGAAGTTTGGGAGCCGTTGTTGAGCGCCGTGGTTTTCTCCCCGATTTGGGGTTTCCACGTAAATTGTGTGTTCTTTATTTTATTTCCGTTGCTATTTATTTGTGGTGGTGCTGCTGATTTTTGGATTATATTTTTGGGTTTCCACTTTCCTTGATATTTGTGGTTTCCCACGCTCCGATACCATGTTAGAAAATAATATAAAGAAAAAATATATATATATTTTATTGCTCTGTTTAGTACAAAGAGAAGACCCTGCTTATATAGGAGAGGGTAATTCCATAAAAGTAAACTTCTTTAACTTCTACTATATTCCTACTAAAATTCTAAAAGCTTCCATAACAAGAAACAACCCAATTAAACCGAATCCTTGAAGGATTAAGGATTCGGTTTCCTTCTTTGCTTTTGGCTCGTGCGTGTCGCCCAACAAAGTAAATGTTGTTTGTTTAACCCCTTGTTTGGATGAGAAAAAGAAAATAAAGATGTATAATAAGAAGGAAAGAATATACATTTTTTAAAGAAGTTATTTTTACCTCGTTCTTCTCATTAATAATTTGGATGTAATAGGGGGGGAGGTTATTTTCCCTCCTAAACAATAGAAAGAATTAATGGATGAAGCTCTAACTAACTTAAAAATCTTCTCTCCATTTTGAAGGGAAGAAACATAAGGATGAAAAATAAAGAAATATTATCCTTATTTATTTATGTGTTACCTTTCCCGAACGAAAGCGACGGGGGCAACGCAAAAAGTTGCGACAATGTGGCGATATGTCATAAGAGCAAAAACGAAGGTTCCATGTCCGAGAATGACCTTTGACAGAAGCTGCAAACCTGTTGCAATAGCCTGCACTAGCAACATTCCCAGCAATACCACCCGGTGTCCTGCCCCATTGCCCACATCACTCATTTTCTTTGACTCTTTAGGCCCCCACGACCTACAAATAATATAATTGCTATAAAGTGAATGAAATATCAAAAACCATAAAACAATTTTGGGGTTGAATCTATTGTTTTATGGTTGAATCTATTGTTTTATGGTTTTTGATCTCCCAAATAACTTTTGTATCTACAATTTTGGGGAAATAGCGCCAGTACCCCATGTGGTTTGCAAAATAGACACTAAAACCCCCTCTGTTTTCAAAACTTATTTCTAAAATCCTTGTGGTTTCAAAATGTGCACTCGTGCCCCCTCTGATCTTTTTCCGGCCATTTTTCCGGCAAAGAAGGAGGGCATTGGTGCATATTTACTAAACCACAGGGGGTATCAGTGTTGATATTTATTTCTCGTTTATTTTTTTTATCATTTTTTCCTTTATTTGTTTCATTTATTAATAAAGGTTTTTTTTAAATTATTTTTATAATGTTCATAAAATTTAAAGTTATTTTTGTTTGAAAAAATTAACATATAATGTATATGTGTACGTCTCAAATCCACAATTTTTATTTTTTCTGAAAAAAGTAAACTTTTTTTTTAGAATTTCAAAAAAATGAGGAATAAAATAAAAAACAAAATAATACAAAAATAAAAATGAATATCTTTTTCAAACATCTCAATTCTAAGGACTTTTTTAGGCTTGTCCATTTTTTTGTATCAGACTTTTTGTGTATTTTTATTTTTCTTTTTATTTTTCCATATTTTTATTTTTTTATTCTAGGTCTTTCTTTTTGAACTTTCCAAATAAGTACGTAACAAAAAGTGAAAATGTTTAATTTCAAATAAATGTAATGTATGTTAATTTTTTTATTTTTATTTTTATTTGAAACACAAACAATTTTAAAACATTATAAAAAATTGAAAATAAATTAGAAAAAAATCTAGGAAAAGGAAAAAGGGATAGAAAATATTTTTTAAAAAAAGGAAAACACAAATAATAAACGAAAAAAATGAGCCCCCTATGATTTAAAAATTATGCGCAAATGCCCCCTCTTCGCCGGAAAATGACCGGAAAATGATCAGAGGGGTGTAGGTGCATCGTTTTGAAACCACGGGAACTTTAGAAGTAAGTTTTGAAAATAGAAGGGGTATTGATGTCAATTTTCCAAACCACAGGGTGGCACCGAAGCCATTTGGCCCTACAATTTTACTACCACGCTTCCTAATCAATCTATTTTTTTAATATATGTGTAATTGAAGAGTTATTATAACACTTAAGTAGTTAATTAGTTATGTTTTTCATTTTAAATAATTGGATCGGAGTTGATATAAATATTACACCGTATAATGCGTATATTCTTTAAATGCCATGTTTTTAACTATTGAAGTAATTTACACCCGAATTTATTCTAACTCCTTTCATATTTAAAAACAATATTTGTCAGCATGTGAGAGTTTCTATATTAAAATTGAATCTAGGTATACAGTTTATTATATATTATTCAATTCATATGTGCATTTACAGGTTATACAATGCTTTTTGTATAAATTTACTTGTATTTAAATAGATATATTTGCACTAAATAGTACTAAAACTTAAGTCATTTCTCAAAATAGCACTTAAACTGTTTTATTCCCTAAATAGCACTTAATAATATCCAGTGATGGCGAACATTTATTTGAATAATGACTAATGGATAATGACTAAAAGTGCTACATTAGGAAAAAACACATGTGATGCTATTTAAGGAAAGTCATTATGTTTTAGTGTTATATAAGTAAATTCCCCATTTAAATAATCATCATAATAATAGTTGAAATATATATAAGTATTTTAAAATTGCAAGTAAATACTCCATAATTTTTATGTTGGCTATATGTGAAATATAAGTATTTTAAAATTACAAGTTTTAGTGTTATTTAAGTAAATTCCCCATTTAAATAATCATCATAATAATAGTCTTAAAGTACGAAATAATTATTTTGATAAAATACAAATGGAGCATGCTACATGTACCTCAAAATTTGTACCTCATTTGTACACTAAAGGTATGCACTAACATTTTGATGGTTCACACTGACACAAAGTGTTGGTGCGTTAACAAAAATTTACACTGACATAAAGTGTTGGTGCGTTAACAAAAATTAGCATCACACCAACACAAATGGTGGTGCATCCATGCGGTGTATATATAAAATGGGATACAAATCTTTGGGATACAAAGAGCTTTATGATGAGAATCATGGTAGATTGGTTTCACTATGAGTAATATTTTACCAAAACATACGCCAAGCCAAGATATTTTTTACTCGGCATTTACTTTTTGCATTGGCACACGCTAAAATTTTGATGTTGCATCCATTTTGGGATGAAATTATTTTCTTACAAATAATTTTTAAATTACTATTGAAAGAAATCAGAAAAGAAATGAAACTAGACAGAGTATATAGAAAATTTAATAAGTTGGATGATATAAATTGGATGAAACTAAAAAGAATTAGAAAAAACTAAAAAAAGGTGGAAAGAAAAAAGTAGATTAGAAAATATTGAAAGTTAACCATGCATTTAGTTGTGGGAAAATATTTTCTAGAAAAATTATTATCTCCCACCTTTTTCATTGTTTGTAGAAAGTTTTTTTTTCCAAAAAAAATTTCCCATTATGCTTTAGAAAGGGGACTTTTTATATTAGTATATTATTGATGATGTTTGAGTAAAAAATAACGATATTTTGAAACAATTTTAAAATATTCTAGACAGTACAATTTGTATTTATACCGGATGGATACCAAATAATCATTATAGAGCTCCGTTATGGGGGGTTGTGGGGAAATAAACTCATGAAATCAGAATACTTACACTATGTTTGGTTCAAAGAATTTGGCATGAAAAGATAAGAAAATAGTTTTCACTCTGTTTTCTAACTAAAATGGGTGGAATTTGATTTTCTTTCCTCTTAGTATATTATGTTTTTCATTTTTCTTTTCTTTTCCTTTCTAATCAAACAACAAGAAAATTAAAATGTATTACTTCTCATTTTCTTTTCATTTCCCTCTCAAATTTCTTGAATCAAATGCTAAGGATTGAGTAGGAAATTGACATTTCATTCTCCCAAAACCAATAAAAGTCATTTTCTCAACTTTAACACTATGTTTGGTTCAAGGAATTTGAAATGAAAAAGAAAAGAAAATGAGATGGAAAATAGCATTTCTGGTTTGGATAGAGAGGAAAAGAAAAGAAAAGTGAAAGGAAAAGGAAATGAGAAGACAAAATATATTAAGGGAAGAGAAAATCAAATTCCTCCCATTTTGGCGAGAAAAATGAGAGAAAATCATTTTCTTTTCTTTTCCTTCCAAATTCCTTGAACCAAACATAGTGTCGCGCGTATTGTATTTTTTAACATGGTTTTCTACCACTTTTGCAATTGAACATAGAAAAGTAAAATTGGAACTCTCTGGTAAAAAAAATTTCCCAACCAAACAGATCCTAAAAGTTAAAATTCAAAAAAATAGAGCCTTAGTAACATAGAAGAAAAATTATAGAATTAAATAAAATTTCTTTTACCGAGTGCATCCCATAGGTTAAAATAGTAGTAATGTTCTTATTACGCAGTTTTTCCTTGTGATTAATACTATTTTTACTATTTTGTAGAAATCCTAAATGTGGAATCTAACTTTTTGTAAAATTCTATGAGAAAACAAATGCCCTCTCAGTCCCATAAAAATTCTCTAAATTTCTCTTTAATTTTTATCAGTTCCAATAATGACCATGCTTAGTCATTCACAATTATCATAATCACACTACACACAAGTAGATATAGAAGAACACCCCTCTTTAAATGTTTACCATATTTTGAAAAAACGAAACAAAATATCAATTTTTTAATTTATTTTATTTAAATATTTGTATGGAAATAAAAAAATTAAATTTACATATATTTTAAAACTAAATGAAAATTTTTCAAAATAAGAGATGTCAAAAATATTTTATTTTATCAAATAATCAATGAAAATGTATAAATAAACAAAATTTCTCGTAATAGTTGAAAAAGGAAATGTGACAACTATTTTGGGAGGGAGGGAGTAAAAAATTTTAAGCATGGACAAACCTCAAATTGATCAAAGATGGATGCTGGAGCCCTTCTCAAACCCCCTAAGCTATTTTATTTGTTTCAAATTTTCAATTCCTTGTTCTATACCCCACGCCCAAGTAGATGTCATGGGGCATATTTGAATGCCGGTAGCTACGAACTATATATTCGTCCAAATTACATAATTTTTCAAAAGATGTTTGTGATTTGTCTTTATTGCAATTTAAAAGCTTGAAAATAGCCATAAGTTTAGTTTGATCAAACACTTTATTATATTCATTTTCGTTGATTAAGAAAATGTGCATATTTTTAAGTTTGAAAATTTTTACATGACTTAGAAATTCTACTCTCTCTGTCTCAATTTAAGTTGTGCGTTTACTATACAAAAATAAGTGTTTCATATTTTTATTCTCTAAATACGAGTTAAAATGCATATACAGTGCTAACATGACCATATACCTTACCAAAAAGTATCATGAAATGTTCATATAAGGTGCCAGTGTGCCACATAATCAGAGTGCAAACTCATATTTTGGAAATAAAAATATTGAGCTCCTATTTTAGTACTTTCTATGTGTTTTATTCCTATATATTCAGGGTGATTTCTACAAATTCTAACTACTCTCTCTACATATTTTCTTCACTCATTTGACAAAATAATATAGTCATGTCACCCCTGTTTTGTAGATTTTTGATGTAGTTTTTAAATGTATAAGTTTTATTCAACACCAGCTTTAAAATAAAATGAATTAAAAATAATTTTGGTCAAAACTCACAAACAACAACAAAGATTTAAAGTGGGATGGAGTGAGTAATAAATATAGTGAGTGTGAACTTTTATTTTGATCTTAAAAAATAAGTTTTCTATTTTGTTATTTTCATATTTTTTGCTCTTATTTAGGGATCTCCCTTATAGATTCTTTATGTCTCATATCTTTCTTCATACTCATTAGTTTTTTTCTGATTTTGAATAAAAAAACTTTAATCATTAATGTCTCTTTGTATATATAATTTGTAAACATATATAATTAAAATATGACATTTCAAAATTATTAAAAAAATGACCATGAAAATCAAAATGAGAATAAAATTATTAGACAGATAGAGTAGTTTTTACTTTAACCATTTTTTTTCTCCCATTACTTTAACCATATTATATGTAATCATACACGGAGTACTAGTTTCTACTTTATTGGATTGTTACATTTCTTTAACGTGGGGGGTAGAATTTTCGTACGTACTTCTAGTAGTTGAACAACTGGAAAGGCCAATAGGAAATGTTTGAACAGATTAATTGATGATAGTCATGATGTAAATGTAATATCTCCGTTGCCTTTCACTAGCATAACCAAATGATGATGATGATCATCGCAACCGTGGGTTTTTGGTCTGGCCCGTTTTAAGTTTTAAAATATTCAATCGCATCCCACCGTATAAGGAAAGGGACAGGCACGGGTCCGGATTACGGAGTATTAGTTATTGGAGTCCTAGTCTGGGTTTTTAGAAATAGATCGAAGTGGTTTGGGCACGATGTTATTTTAATTTGTCACATTTATTTGGATAATTGGAATGACTTGGATCATCCTAAGGGGCAGAGACCAAAATAGCAGCAAAACATTGACTATATATATCAAAATAGGAGTAGAAAAATAAAATCTCCAAAATATGAGTTTATAGCTCACCTTCTCACCCAACGACCTGGCCTCCTTTCTGCCGTTAGACTTTCTGCCCCATTAAAAACATAAATTGATGTGCCTTTTTGTTCACTTTGTATGTAAGGAGCATGAGATATTGACATATCAAAACCAACTCATTACTATGCAAATAGATGATAACATTTCAGTTCTTGTTTTGAATCTTAAGTTTTTTTATTTTTCATCTTCAAACGGTAGGGAGTAGTTAGTTAGTGAGCAAAAAGAAGAGATTCAGCTTCTCTTTGATAAGACTGTAAAAGATACACCGTACACTCAGATAATGAATTCATGTTATGTATAATCGGCAATCCCGAAAAAAAAAAATCGGCCTTGGCCATTGACCGTATCCTTTCGCCAATGCTGGCACCACTGCCACTCTCCGCCGGGTCCTCTTGCCGTCGTTGTCATCGTGGCCCACTGTGTCTCTACCGCATGCCTCTGTCACTTGAGTCTCTGCCGCTAGCTTACTCCGTCCACACCGGGATGATGTGCCACCGCAACGAAGATTTGACATTGTTGCCCTTTTATTTTTCACCGACATCAACGACACGACCACTATACCACCATCACACCCTGCACCATTGCCGACACCACCATCATACTCTCATTACTTTGCATAGTCTCCGTCGCAATGCCACATTAACAGCAACGAAGGTATAATCTCAAACATGGCCACATATAATGTCACATATGGTAATGCATAATGCCACAGATTACCTAATAATGTCACATATGGTAATGCACGATGCCACACATTACCATACATAATATCACTGTTGCAAATTCAAAATGTCAAACTACATCACTGACCTGCAATAATACTACCGGTGAGCATAATCCATCTTACGACTACCGTTATGAAAGTTGGATGACCAACCTTTATTGACAACGGTTGGCCCTCATTTTCCGACACCAAATTAAATCACCATCTAAAAGCATCCAAACAAAGCTCAAGGTAAATAAAAATTCAATTAAATATCAATGAGGAACCCAAATACTTCTAAAATCTGAGATTTGAGAAAGGGAGATAGGGCAACATGACATATTTGTGTGCGCTGGCACGACTAACTGAGATGTTGCAAGCGGCGGCAGTGGCGATGGTGCTGCATGAGCCGAAAATGGTTATGGATCGAGGGAAGGGAATGTGTAGAAAGGGAATCAGCGGAAGGGATGAAGGGAATCGACAATTTTTTTTCCTTTCTCAATTGAGTCGTGCGCGTGGGAATTGGTAGATTTTTTTTCCTATTTAATTACTCTTATTTAGAGGATTTTAAGATTGAACTCCAACTTTGAGGATATATAAACATATGTTTTGCTCCTATTTGGGGGCCGGGTTTTCTTTCAAAGAAAACCCACCAAATAGGACTAAATCATTAGATATATTCCCAAAATAAGATCTCCTAACTTATATACCCAAAATAGGCGCTGTAAATCTCCTCTCAGGTTCAATTTTGGCCGACACTTTCATTTCCTTCTAGCCAATCTCTTTCGTTTCCTTGAGACGGCCACAGTCGGCTAAAGGTTTCTTCCTTGTTGATCTTCTTCGCTGACACTTTTCCGATGCTGCCAACGGCAGTGCCCTACTTTCACTGTCCCTACTGGCGGCACCCCTTCCGCCACTATCCCTGTCGGCAGCTCCAATACCGCCACTGTCCCTGCCCCGGCCACCACTGCCATTAAATACCCATACAGTGTCAAACAATTACATTATGGAAAATATAACAACACATAATGCGACACTTGAAACTGCATAATGGTATTCATCCTAATGTATAGAGTCAAACACGTGAATGGATAAAGTGTAATGCGAAGCATAATAATGCATCATGCATGCAATACATGGCAATGCATAATGGCAAACATGCCAATGTATAATGTCATTGTTGTCCATGTTTTGTTCTATAGTTTAATTATTGTTATAGGCGGCAAGCAGTGGCGAATCTAGAAAAAGAAAGGACAGGGGGCAAAAATAAGAGGTCGGGGGTTTGGGGGTGACGCCTCCAATAATTTTTGAAACATATTATAAAGTGATAAAGATGATGTGAAATTTTATTTAAATATTGTGAATTGCTATACATAATTTATAAATAAGTAAATTAGAAATTTTAAATTTAAATTTTTAATATATAAATAGATTACTAAAACTAATTTTCAAGAGTAAATTCAATAATTGGTCCTATATAACAGAGGATTTCCATATTTAGTCCTCTATTATCAAATATTATTCTCGTAGTCCTTTTTTAAGGGTACCTTTTCACAAATGGTCCTTTTTTATCTTCTGCCATGTTGTTGTTAATTTAAAGATTAAAAGTATAATTTGACATCAACATTATGTTCAGTGACGTGTTCTGATATTTGTTAAGCGGATAACACAAAAATAATGACTATGATTGTGGGCTAGGATTCTGACGAAAGACCACATTTGTAGATTATAGTTGTAGTAGAAAGCGACTATAATTCACAAACGACGCAAACGGAACAACCTTTGGAATTGTGTATGACAAAAAGATATATTATCATTATGAAATTACACTTTTAGCCCTCAAATTAATACCAACATGATAGAAGATAAAAAAAGGACTATTTGTGGAAAGACACTCATAAAAGAATGACCACTGGAGTAATATTTGATAATAGAGGACTAAATAGAAAAACTCTCCTGCTATAAAGGACCAATTATAGAATTTTACTCAATTTTCAATTAAGGATTTTAAATGCTTTGACCCGTTTCTTTTAAGTGAGATTCAGAAAATTAATGGGGGCATATATGAATTTTTGGTGGGGGCATATTTAAAATTTTTAAAAAATTATGGTATCTATTAAAAGTTATTTGGAAGTCATTGGGGCAAGTGCCCCCATTACCCACAATGTGCATCCGCCCATGGGCGGCAGTGTGCTCAGTGAAAATAATGGCACCCATTAGGAGTCTATACGATCTATAAAGGACAATTGGATCCAAATGGGGGAGAAAATAGATCTAATCGAAGGGAATGGTTGGCGCGGCGCGAGAGGAGTGGTGAGAGCGTGGCGAGGGAAGAGAGACTAAAAAGGGCAACAACTCTTATTTTGAGAGTTTTATGTTTCCACTCCTATTTTAGATTTTAATCAATGTTTTACTCCTATTTTACTCCTTAACCCTTTCTTTCATCCTAATTCAAACTTTTTGTAAACTAAAAACCTAAAACTTTGGGAACTGTTAACCCGTAAAAATAATTTAAATGTTTCATGCAAACATCTTTAGAAATTCTTAGAGAAAGTATAATAGAAGCAAAGACAAACATTTAAGAACTATATTTTTAGTTTAAAAATCTTTTGAAGTTGTATAAAAAATAATGCCAATTAATACTTGCCTCTAGACATTTATTTAATTTGTATCTAGTGAA